AGCTGCCCAAACTGAGCTTGAGCACTCCTGAATTCTGAGGTGTTCAAATCTGGAAGGCAGGTGCTGGGGGGGGGGGCCTCTAGGGCTCCGCAGGAGAGCATGGCAGCATGGATGCAGCAGCGTGTCTGGCGCTGCGCGAAGCCAGACATGCTGGTCTGAGTGGCAAAACAAAAACAAACAAACAAAAAAACAGAGTGCCACCCCTTGAAAAGTGCCGCCCCAAACACATGCTTGGAATGCTGGTGCCTAGATCCGGCCCTGCTTCAAGCACAAAGAAATGCAAGAATGGTCCGTTAGTGCACATCTTATTGTGTTTCATCACATATACTTTTAAATAAGAAAAAAATTCAAATGTATTTTGCAATCTGAAGCAGCACAAAGTTCTTTTCATTCCCTCTGTCCCCTGCAAAGGCTCTATCACTTTCCTGTGGTTCTTTCCAGAGACAGTCAATGCTGTTACTTATACTGCCTAGTGAGGGTCACCAAACAAAATCACAAGATCCTTCCTCCTTCAAGGCACTGAAATGCTGTCTACAGTGCTTCAAAGACCTGCCAACCCATGGGTGTTAACTGCCTAATTGTGTGACATTGTCCAATTCAATCTCTCAGAGCCAACTCCGTAAAACTGGAACAATATTGTCTTACTTCAAAGGAGTGTTGTACTGATTAATTCATTACTGTTTTAAAAATGTGAGTTTCTCAGAAGAAAGGCACTAAAGAAGTATAATGTATTACAAAAGGCACCAATGTATTTTGCAAAAAAGCATGCAGATTATCTCTCAAGAGTGTGCTACTGTAAAACACTAAAATTAGGGTGCAAGTGTTAACACATTTTTAATTCTTCTGAGAGATACTTAGATCATACTTACGGCATTTAAAATTAGAAGGTTGATCATTTTCATCACAGAAGTTTTACAAAAAAATTAAAGAATTTAAAGAATGTTCACAAATTTTAAATAAAATAAAATAATACTTCCTTTACAAGGTAGGGCACACTTTCAAATAGTTGATTCTTCTACAGTGTTAACTTGTAATTATACTTTGTATATTCTCTTACCTAGATAACTGATCCACCATCACTTGCTCTACTACAGTTTGCTTTCTCCTCTCTGCAGCTACATCCTCCTGAAATGAAAAACCCATTAAGAGCCTATGAGATACAATAAACACTTCAGAAAATAAGATGATCTTCAGAAGATGCAGTTAAGCAATATGGAATTTTCATATGTGTCATTTCACTATCTCACCTTATCTTTTTTTTTTAAAAATCAAGAAAATTATACGGTGAATGAGGTTCAGTTAAATTAGAGCCATATAATGCATTCTGATATAGTTAAACTGTTTACATATGCACTAGCTCTGTGTAATTTTATTGTCTACATATAAAAGAGAAATCTAACATTTATGCAGAGGGCCAGATTTCTTTATATTTGCTCTCACATTACTTTCAGTAAGTGTATTATTTAAGTGGGACAAAGCATAAGAGAATCTTCCCTCCCCGTCCAATGTATCTTAGGAATCAGTGCAGATACAAATTATGATTTGAAGCAATGAAGATTTACCTCTACCAATTTGATTTTGTCTTGAGAAAGATTTTTTTATGATTTATTGTCCACTCTCAATTATTTATTTGAAAGCAGGTCAGCTATGTGCTGGAATATTCTCCTCCTTGGATATATGACAATTGGAAGAGTCTTATAGGAATCACCCTATTCATTGGAGAGATTATTCCAACTATTCTTCCTTGCTGGCAGTGGGTTTTACTCTCTGGCAAAACCCTATCATTTAATATATATCCAATTTCTGAACTTCTCTACTGCATTTAGGTTTGCCCTTATTTCCGTGACATTTATATAGCTGGTTTTCATGGGAAGACAAAGACATTGTTCCGTGTTTTTTATGTAAACTCCCAACCCAATCTGCATGCCTGTGATTAGTTATCTATCTCTATCTTTGATCAGCTGTGACTCCCTTTATCTTAGTGCAACTCTATTTCACTAATGTGCTAAATACAGAGACAATCTGTGATTGAGAGAAGATTTCCCAGGTAGGCATTTTTACATGCGCAAGCCAAATTCTATATAGACCAAGGTCTACTATAGTCGAAGAGGATGAAAAACTGGTTGCCAATCAAACACCAGATAATTTTAAAGGATAATCACTAACTTTACCAAAATTGTTATAGGGTTAAGTTGTAAAGGGTTTAATTCACAAGTCTCCCAGTAAGTCAGTTTTCTCTCTGCATAGACCATTGTACATCGCCTTTGTGGGCCTAACCAAAGCATTTGACACAGTCAGCAGAGCCGGTCTATTTGCAATACTAGAAAAGATAGGATGCCTACCAACCCTGTTAAGTCTTATACGTTCATTCCACAACAACATGAAAACAACTGTCCAGTTTGGTGGGTCCACTTCGGACAGCTTTGAGATGAAAAACAGAGTGAAGCAAGGATGTGTTCTTGCCCCTACACTCTTTGGAATCTTCTTCTCAGTACTCTTGAATTGTGCGTTTAAGGACATGAAAGATGGAGTGTATCTCCACACAAGATCAGATGGGAAACTCTTCAACCTGTCTCAACTTAAGTCAAAGACCAAAGTCAAAAAGGTGCTAACCAGGAAACTTCTATTCACTGATGCTGCCCTCATAGCCCATAATGAAGATCTACTACAAGAACTCAAGGAAGGCCTTTCAAGTGCTTGTCAGGCATTTGCTCTCACCACCAAGAAAATGGTTGTATTAGAACAGGGAGTTCCACAAGATCCTTCAATTACCTCAAATGCAAACCAGTTAGAAGTAGTCCAAAAATTAAGCTATTTAAGTTCTACAGTGACTGCCAACCTCTCACTGGATGAAGAACTAAATGTTCGCATTGGAAAGGCTGCGCCACCTTTAGCAGACTAACTAAAAGAGCATGGAACAACTCAAAGCTTACCATCAAGACCAAAATGCTAGTGTACCAAAATGCTTGCATCCTCAGCACTCTCATGGTATGGTGGGGAAACATGGACAACTTATGCTCCCAAGTTTTCTCTTTAAAGTTTTCTCTTTAAAGAAAAGTTTAAACAGTTTCCACCTACGTTGTTTACACCGCATATTCAATGCCAAATGGCAAGATACAGTCACCAATGCAGAGGTTCTTCAAAGGGCAAATTTACCAAGTGTGACATCCCTGCTCAAGCAAAGATGACTGCGCTAGCTGGGCCATCTGAGTAGGTTGGAGGATGGACAGATAGCTCCCCGTATAACATGTCCTTGGGTATCAGAGGGAACTAGAACAACAGGACGTCCCAAGCTTCGCTATAAAGACACATGCAAGCGAGATATGAAGGAATTTGGAATTGATCCTGACCAATGGGAAATATTGGCAAGTGATCGTAACAAGAGGTACCATCATCTCCATCAGGGTATCAAAGTCCATAACAGGAGCTGGCTCCTACAGCTTGAAGAGAAAAGAGCCCATAAGAAGCAAGCAGCTCCCAACCAAGACACATACATTTTCAATAACTGGCAAAGATCATGCAAATCTCGGACTGAACTATTCAGTCACTTGAGACATTGCAAACCATCTACATCATAGGCTGCAATTCCCACAGTCTGTCTCAGACGAAAGGATGCCAACACTATCCAGTAAGTATGAATTACCACTTGCCACAATAGCTAACTCAAATACATCACAAACTGTTTATTCTGAACAGATTTTTTCCTTTCTGGATTTCTGAATTACAAATGCTTGGTTTTTATCTGTGATGCAGTCAGGTGTCACAATTATCTGTGCATTATATTAAGTTATTGAACATATACATTCTTGCCCATTACTTGACCCAAGGGATAGGTTAAAAGTAATTATACAGATGCTCCCCGACTTACGCAAGTGTTCCATTCTGGAATACCTTGCGTAAGTCAGGAACATATACCCAACAATTACGAAAAAAACCCACACTTATGGAATGTACAGAACTTTTTCCATAAGTGCGGATTTTTGTAAATCGGGTTTGCATTACCCGGGGAGCGTCTGTATACTACAGGACAAAGTGATAACTGCAAATGTAGTCCATGGTGCATTTCCTAAATGCCCAAAGATTTCCACACTAAGACTCAAGCCATGTGCATGTTGAGAAGGGAGAATCCCATTTTACAGAGTGAAACTTCAACATCTGAATTTCAATTTAATGCCAAAAGACATTTTTTCTTTTTTAGTGCATCCTTCATTCAGCTGTTAGAGAAATTCATGGTGGGTCTTTTACAAAGCTATTGAGACAAGTATTTGATTTCAATAGAGGTCATAGGACAAAAGGAAGGAACTCTACTGTGAACAAAATAGCCTTTTTATTTAGAAGGAATACAACTTCTCCTGCAAAATTCTAATTGGTGACATCCTGGAGCAAATCACACAAATTGTACCATGGTCTTCCTTAAACAGGAGAATTCTCATTTCACTCATTTTTATAGATCATTTAAATATTCTGCATAGTAAATATATACAAGACTTTATACTGCATTCATCACCATAGTATCTGAGTGCCTTCCAGCAGTGTGTTAAGCCAGGTGACCACACACCTGTTATGTATTGTTTGTTCTCTCATTCACTTCCCAGAGGAAGAAGCATGTGGAATGG